TGGAGGGGCTCCCCCCGGGGCAAAGCGCTGGCACGGCGGGCTGGGGTGGCGGGGGTGGAACGGCGGGGCCGGGGGGCGGCTCTGGAGGTGCCCCCGCACCCCGAGGGTGCCGCGGAGGAGCCGCACGTTGTGGCTGCTGCTCCTGCCTCTGCTGCTTCCTTTGTTCTGCAGGCGCCGCTCGGGGGGACCCGCCGGGCGGCCGGGGGGCTCCGGGGGGCTCCGGGGCAGCGCCCGCGGCCACCCCCCCCGGCAGGGCTGTGGGGCTGGGGGGGCACCCAGACCCTCTGGGGTTACGGGGGAGCGTCCTGGTGGTGGTGGAGTGGGCTGTGGGGGGGGTTGGGGAGAGGGTTTGTTGTGGGGTTAGTGGGTGTGGGGGTGCACTGAGTTGTTTTCATGGGGTTGTCGGGTGGGGGGCAGTGGGTTGCTGTTGTAGGGTCGGTGGCTGTGGGGGTGCACGGGGTTGTTATTTTGGGGTTGTCAGGCGGGGGGGCACGGGGTTGTTGTTGTTGTAGGGTCGATGAGTGTAGGGGTGCACTGTGTTGTTGTTTTGGGGTGCACTGGGTTGTTGTTGTAGGATCACTGGATGTGGGGGTGCACTGTGTTGTTGTTGTAGGGTCGCTGGATGTGGGGGTGCACTGTGTTGTTGTTTTGGGGTGCACAGGGTTGTTATTGTAGGGTCACTGGATGTGAGGGTACACTGTGCTGTTGTTTTGGGGTTGCTGGATGTCGGGCTGCACAGGGTTATTTTTATGGGGTTGGCAGGTGGAGGTGCACTGAGTTGTTATTTTGGGGTTGCTGGATGTTGGGGTGCACAGGGTTGTTATTGTAGGGTCGTAGCCATGTTGTCCATACAGGGTTGTTATTGTAGGGTTGTCAGCTGTGGGTCCTTGTCAGCATCCCCGCTCTATTATTGTAGGGTCGTTAGTGGGGTTTGTGCAGGTCCTGCTCTGTGTTATTGTAGGGTTGCTGGAGGAAACCCTGGGGGTGGGACAGCCTGGCTCCTGTGCCCCCCAACCTCCCGCTGAAATCCCCTCTTCCCACCCCAAACCCTACCCCAGAAAACCCCCCAATTCCTGCCCCATATCCTCCCCCCCAAGATGCAGACAAAGCTCAACACTGATTTGCTTTTTAATTTAAGGAAAAAAAATTACCTACAAAATAATTAAATACAGGGGTTGGGGAAACTTAAACACGAGCCATGATCATTTTCCATGGGAATTTAACCAGTGCATTAAACCCACCCTGTGGAGCATCCCCAGCCGGGGATCCCGAAAGATGGGGAGGGGTCACGGTCGTGACCAGATACGGGGGGAAACACGGGGTTATGGGGTCACAGCTGGTCCCCCAAGTACAGGGGCAAACACGGGATCAGAGGTCTCACCTGGCCCCCCAAGTGTGGGGGGAAACACGGGGGTCACTGCTGGTCCCACAAGCACAGGGGGAGCGTGGGGAGTCCACCCTGACACCCCAAAACTCATCCCACGGCTGCCCTAAAACCATCCTGGCAGCGCCTCAAATCCACCCGTCCCCCAGAGCAAACAGGCTGGGGGGGACAGTTGGGGACCACGATTTGTCCCTTTGTCCTCGGTGTGGGGATCTCCAGGCGGGTGATGCCCTTTCCCGGCTCCGGAGGGTACCTGGGGGGTCACTCAGAGAGCGTCAGGATGTGACGGTGAGGCTTCTGCTCCCAGGGATGTCACAAAGGCCTCCACCTGCAAGGAGAGTCCAGCTGAGAGGGGGGCACTGGGATGGTGTAGGGAATGGCACCAGGATGGCTGAGACCTAAACCAACTCGGACCCAGGGGGTGGGAACAATTTTCCCCAGGGAAATCAGAAGCAGAGGCGGAGGCTCCGGGGCCAGCACGGCTCCAAGCGGCACTCCCAGCGCTCCGGGCACCGGGATGGCACCGGGATGGCACCGGCTGTGCCACCTCACCTGTGCCATGAGCACCCCCTGCGCGGCCACGTCGCGCTCGAAGTCCCGCTCCACGTCCAGCACCAGGACGGGCGCTCGCTGCACGGCCCCGAAGTGGATCCTGGAGAGGGGAGGGGGACACAGCAGGGGTTAAACCCCCTCAGATAACAACCCCCCAAAATCAGGGGGTCACCCCTGCTGGGTGAGGGGACTCACTGCGTGGTCTTGTCCACCAGCCAGTGCTCGTGCTGGGCGTGCAGCTGTTCCAGGTATCCCAGCTGGATCCCACCCTCCTCGCTCCGCGCCCGCCGCCGCAGCCGCGCCAGGCACGTCTGTGCCCGCCCAGGAAACAGGGATAACGGGAGACAGGGAGGGTAACAGGACAGAGGGACAGAGGGGAGGTTAATGGGACACATGGGAGGTTAAGGGCATCCAGGAAAACAGGAGGTTAACGGGACACATGGGAGGTTAATGGGAGAGAGAAGGGATGTGGGCATCAGGTAAAGCAGTACCAGGGGAGGGACCCCTGAAGATGCTCAGCCCTCTCTCCCCAGAATCTGCTCCAGAATCCACAGCAAAACTCCCACCAACATTCCCATGGGAACAGGAGCAAGCCCTGCTCCTCCAGGGCGGCAATTTATGGCTAAACCCCAACATTTTGGGCAATTCCAGGCGGATCCGAACGCCTCCCACATCCCTGTTCCCACGGACACCCACCTGTGGGGTTGCCCTCAGGTACAGGAAGCCATGGAGGGTGGCACGAGGGCCCAGGTGCCGCAGCAGGAAGCTGTGCCAGTCCTGGTAAATGGCCCATTCCAGAGGATTCAGGTGCCCCACCTCAAAGAGGTTCTTGGCAAAGACGTACCTGGAAGGGACAGGGAGAGGGCACCGTTGGCAGCGGGGTCTCCGAGTCACCCCCACACCCAGGGGGCTTCACAGACATCCTTCCACCTTCTATCCACCCACCAGGAACTGCAGGTGACTCAGTTAAGGTGAAAATCCCTAATTTGGGGCTGGAACATGCAGTGCCTGGCACAGTTCAGCCCCACCGGGCTCGGCACCACCCACAGGGCTGCCCATCCCAGGGTGGTCCCAGGCTCCCAGCTCAGCTGCTGTGGGTGCTCCACATCCCACTCAACCCCTCCATCCCTCTCCCCTCACGTTCTTTGGGGACCTGTCACTCTCCCCTCCCGTTCTTTGGGGACCTGTCACTCTCCCCTCCCGTTCTTTGGGGACCTGTCACTCTCCCCTCCCGTTCTTTGGGGACCTGTCACTCTCCCCTCCCGTTCTTTGGGTACCTGTCGCTGTACACGGAGCGCTCAAAGACCCTCACGGGGTGGGGGGTCCCGGGGGGCTCCTCTGGCAGCTCCAGCATTGCCTTCAGCCGGCTCATGCAGGAGAAGGTCTGGAAGGTGTAGGACCAGCGGGCTGGCTCCTGGTACATCATCTGCAGCAGGTTGGTGGAGCCCGTGGATTCCTGCAGAGGGATAAGGGTTGGGGGCCCCTGCCAAGGGGTGGGGGTGGCTCCAGACCCCCCAGGCTGTGTTGGGGCAGGGGGGGCCAGGGGACAACACCCACTGACCCGGCCTTTGGTGGAGTCACCACCAGTGAAACTGTTTCTCTGGGCCACCTGCAGTTCCCTCTCCAGGTTAAGTCTGCGTTGAGCAGAAAGGGAAGGAAAACCTGGAGCGGTCAGCACGTCTCCTTGGAGCTCCCCCCCTAAAAGTGTCCCACTGCACGTTAAAGGTTTGGCAATTTACCAGCAGGGAGAAAGCTGGGCTAGCAACTAGAGCCAGGGATCAGCAACCTTCCCAGGGCTTTCCAAACCACTTTGTTTTTCAACCAGGGCAGAGGTGACACCTGCTGATGAGCAGGATCTCGGCCTTGGCTCTGGCTTCAGGCAGAACTGCCCAGGAACTGAGGGTCCCCCTGGAAATGCCCCTCTGGACTTGCTGCAGGACACTCCAACACATCCACACCAGCATGTGTCTGCTCTGGGGATGAGAGCTGGAGGCAGATAATCAGCATCATGGGGGGCCTCAGGCTAATCCCATCTCCCAAATCCTCCTGGGGGCACCCACAGTGTGGGTGGGATTTGGACTCACAACTCCTGTCTCAGCTCAGGCCGAGGATTTGGGGAACTGAGGGGCTTTGGGACACCAAAAGCCCAAAAATGGGGGCGGAGAGAGAGGAAACCACAGGGAGAGGCATCTCCAACGTGCAGCTGAGGCAGGGAGGAGGCGATGCACCGACCCAGGTGCCAAATTCCCACCCCAGCTCGAGGGTGTCCCCAGGGCGGAGCCCCCACACCCACCTCCCCCCCGGGGTGCCGGGATGGAGCCGGGGTGGAGCTGGAGCCGCTGTTACCTGGGCCGGCACCTTCTGCCACTGCGCCACCGGCTCTGTCACCAGGTGCCACCGCGGGAAGGTGGCTCCCAGCAGCTTCAGGAAGGTCGATTTGCCCACGGCTGCGGGAGGGGGGAGGAGAGCGGGGTGAGCCTGGGTGTCCAGCCCTTCCTGGCTCCTGGGAATGTGGGGGGAGTTCGGGTGTTCCTTTGTCCCAACTCCCGGTAACGCAGGGTGAGCCTGGGTGTCCCCCCCGTCCCGCTCCTGGGAATGTGGGGTGAGCCTGAGTGTCCCCCCGTCCTGCTCCTGGGAATGTGGGGTGAGCCTGGGTGCCCCCCCGTCCCGCTCCTGGGAATGTGGGGTGAACCTGGGTGTCCCCCCATCCCGCTCCTGGGAATGCGGGGTGAGCCTGGGTGTCCCCCATCCCAGCTCCCGGGAAAAAACAGGAAGAGCCTGGGGTGTCTCCCAGCTCCAAACCCCAGGACCGCGGGGTGAGCCGGGGGGTCCCCCGTCCCCGCTCCCAGCAAACACAGGGTCCCCCCCACCCCGTCTCCCCGCAACGCGCGCAGCACTCCCCCCCCCCCCCCCCCCCCCCCCCCCCCCCCCCCCCCCCCCCAGCAATTACAGCTAATTACAGCCATTAACTCGCACCCCGGGACGCTCCTCCATCACACCCCCAAATCCTCCTGTCCCCCCTCCCTCCCCGTACCGATGTTCCCCTCCAGGGCCAGGCGCAGCCCGGCCCCGCACCGCCCCATCCCCGCCGCCGCTTCCGCCTCTCCCGCGTCACATGCTAATGACATGCTAATGAGGCGGCGCGCGCGACGTCACCGCGCGGGAAGTGGGAGGGAAGGAGGGAGGGAGAGGAAACTGC